GAGAGAGAGAGAGAGAGAGAGAGAGAGAGAGAGAGAGAGAGGATGAGGAGGAATATGCTTCACCTGTGCACAAGCAGATAATGATCGTCCCGCAATCGCCTTGCCAGTGACGCTAGCACTGCCTACTTCGTCAGGAAACGGAAAGGAGTCGAGGGAAATGCTTATTAGCCGAAGCAGGTTATGTTAGCACCGGGTAACTTCGCCGTCTAGCGCTAGCGTAACTGGCTACTTGCCAGTTCCGCTAGCACTGGCTACTTACTATGGCACAGTTCGATCCCTGGCTTCCGTTTGCGTCAATCTCCGGCAGCAAATGAGCACACAACCATTGCAAACCCTAACCCGTAAAAGCATGAAAACGCAATCTAACGGAATTGAAAAAGAAGAAAACACGAAACGAAGGAATAGCAGAACGAGGAGAAAATGAAAGACTGAAGAGAAAGGCAGGTTCACAAACGAAAGACTACCACCGGGGCCCAGTTGGTACACCCGTGAGCTATTAAAAGACCCGAGTTCAAATCCAGACGCATTCGAGTGTTCTCTTCCTCCTCCCGTGCACCACCCCTACCCCACTTCTCGTTTTCGGCCCGCGGCTGTACCGAGCCCACTCATCTGTTCCTGCCCGGGGCAAGGTCCCACTTGCTCGGACTACGAGATTCTGACCGTCGATCTGTGCTATCTACGGTCAATATCTCTTAATTCGTGTAAGTGGGACCTAGCCCCCGGTCTGTACCGACGATTGTTCATTTCTGACCGTTGATCTGCCCGGTCTGTACCGGTAGGGTGGGATTTCACTCCTACCGCACCTCTGTGTGCTTGTGTCGTCTATCACTACGTACGGGGGAAAGTGCAGGACGCGTTGCAAATTTTCCAATCGAACTGACCGGCCCTCGGTTATTCAGGGTTGTAGCATTTCACTCGTTTGCTTCCAGTGGAGTTCGATTGCAGGTTTGCGTTTCAACAGGTCAAGGGCGTCCACCTCAAGAGGTGAGCAGAAATGCATTTTTGCTTTCCCAAGAGTTTACGGAAACAGAAGTCAGAACCCAAGTACAACCATCATGAAGTGTTGAAATGCAGGCCCGTGTTCGAATCCAGAGGAAGGAACGTGATGAATAAAACCAAATGTTTCTGAGGCCTGGACCCCACAGGAAAAATGTTGGAAAAGTACTGAGGGTAGGACCCCACAGGACGGCCGCACCTCAAGAGGTGAGCACAAATGCATTTTTGCTTTCCCAAGAATTTACGGAGTACCTGTTTATTAGGAGCAGGGTAGGTTGGAGGTTAGGATAGCTCTGGTTTAGGAGGATTGGTCAACCCGTCGATAGGAGTAGGAGGGGGGGTAGGTAGGTTTGGTCTTTGGGTTTGGTTCTTGGGGTTGGGTTTGTTTTCCTTTCCAGGAGCAGGGTAGCAGGACACGGGCCTGTGTTTTGGTCAATTTGTTCCTTGAGTTTCCTAGGCTCCTGAGTTTCTTGGTTGAAGTGGTTCCCGAGCAAGTGCTCGTAAGCGAAACTGGGTAATGCTCCCAGATGTTACTCCGGGTTGAATTGTAAGGTCCCCGGCCTCAAGTTGTACTTGTGGTAATAAGAAGAGACAATTAAAAAAAAGAAAAAAGAAAAAAAGAAGTCAGAACTCAAGTACACCCATCATGAAGTGTTGAAATGCAGACCCGTGTTCGAATCCAGATGAAGGAACATGATGAATAAAACCAAATATTCCTGAGGCCTGGACCCCACAGGAAAAAAAAAAATGTTGGAAAAGTACTGAGGGTAGGACCCCACAGGACGGCGGCAAACGGTTTCGGAGGTTGCGAGGCAACTTCCGAGACTCCACAGAGAGATATTGGCTTTGCGGAAATCGTCTGCGGACTGTTTCCACTCGGTCCCCTTATTCCTACATGGCCCTAAATTCCCGTTTTCCAAAAGTCGGGCCGTTTACCTACCTCTTGGGTGCGTACTCCGGCACATTCGGACAGAAGTCGGGCGCCTGCAAAGCGGACATGTAGCGGTCCAGTGGGCCTGAGGCCGGATAAGGGTTGTTGTCGCACGCTGACCGTTGGGCCCTGGACCGTGGCACTGTGTGGGGTGGGGAGGCCGACGCCATTTTTCATTTTGAATTTCTCCCACGCCCCAACGGCCCTGCGATTTCAATTTTTTTTCGCCTGCAAGCATATCGCTACAACAAGCACGTAGGCTGGCTGCATGCAGAACCCGATGTCCTTCTTCCGCTGTTTGCATGCTGACTACGATGAATGCCAGCCTCCGTAGCCATGTACAGGTCGTTCGTGAATGCTGCACGCACGTCGTGGGGGGGGGCGGCTGCTTCGTCTCCCGAATCCAACGTTCAGTCTCCCTCAGGCCAGCCATTGTGTCACAAACGCAGCGTAGCAGACAAGTCCACGCGTGGCACAGCCGCAGAGTGTTTGCAGCCGTGGCGAGGGCAGACTATGCGAGAAAGTGCTGGCTTTCGTCCCATCATCTTTTTTGGCCTGGCCTAAGGAGAACGTTTTCTCAATGGTGTGCAAGCTCGGTCCAGAAGGTGGGACGAAGGATTCGTTTTGGCAGTTTTGAGCAGCCGGGGAGGTGCTGGGTGGCAGGTCCGTCGCCCCTGGTTGTCAGGTGTTGACACGTGCACAGCCCGTGTGACGGAGCGTTCGGCAGTTCTTGTCAGAAACCGTGAAGGCGCAGCGTGCAACTCGTTGCCACATCGTCAGCTGCGTGGGTCTCCATGGTCGTGTTGTTGTTGTGGATGTCGTGGTCCTATAGTCGTTGTCGTTGAAAGTTCGGTCAACAGCGACGGTTGCAAGGTGAGTGCACTTCGCCCCGTGATGTCCGTGGTTATCGTTCTCGTGTTGGGTGTTCTTGTGTTGTTTGTTGCAAGCATTGTTGTGTTCGCGTTTGTGGGTCTTGGCGCTTTGTACTTTCTAATGCGTCGGTGATGCACATGCACAGACAGATGTGTCAATGTATACAAAGTTGCATACACACATAGATGGCTAGATAGACAAATAGATAGATAGATAGATAGATAGGTGTGTACAGTGGGGTGTGAGGAGAGGTTGTTGGATAGGGAGATGGAGGGTGAAGATGACGCCAGTTGTCGTCAATGGTCACAGGACCGTATGAGCACGACCGATCCGCGTAGGAGGGTCGGTGGCGATCGATAGCACAGCGGACGATTCGAGAGTCAGCGGCCGGGGGCTTGTCATTGTCCCCTTCGGACATCGGCAACAAGCGGCCAGTGGCTTCATACCCGGGCTGTTATGGGCCAGCCCCGGTTTGGAATCAAGAACCAACGGAGCTTGGGTGCTCGCCTTCTATGAGATACACCCCCCTTCCTCCATCGTTGTTGTCGTCTACAGTTGCAAGTTTGGCACAGGGGGTCGAGCAGTTGACAACAAAGTATCCAGCAATGGCCCGACCGACGATGTTTTATGAATAGCGTAACGACTACCGCGACTATGGAATGACCGGTTACTTCGAGCGACCACGGTTTGATGAGGGAGGCAGGGTCGCGTCGCATGCACCTCCATACATGCCTGTGGACATGACTCCGACGCACGGCTTCAGACCTTCTGCGGACGGATATCCTTCCCCGACGATCTCTGAGCATCCGGTGAGCATGTCCTGCGATGCCCCAGATGTTGAAGCCATTCCCTCTCCGCAGTGTGGCCAGGGCGCACCCCCCCCCCATGACGCACAGGCTCCTGTGACCTCCGGTCCTTCAAACACAAGGGGACGGGCGATCGGGCGAAAGGCACGTGCCGGCTGGCAAGGTGCACCTCAGTCTCCGTCCGGCGATGGCGATACCGAGGCCGACGACGAAGGAGGAAGCAAAAGAAGAAGTCGTAGTCTTTGGAGGAGCGTCTGACACTCGCAAGATACATGCGAGAGGGTGACGCTATGATGGCGGCCGCCCAACCAAGACAAAAACACCAACGGCGATCATTGAGGAATGATTGGGTGGCGAGGCAGGTGAAGGAGGATGGGTACCACCGATCGGCGGAGGATATGCGGAAGAAATAGGCTGACTTGCATAACAAGTACAGGGAGATCAACGACAAGTGCGATGGGTCTGGCAAACCGACATTTTGGGACATGCCGGCCGAGGACAAGAAGAGGGAGGGTTTGACGTTCTTTTTTGAGGAAGAGTTGTGGGACGAGATGGCATGGGCGCAGGGAAAGAGGTCAACCATGTGCGACAACACATTGGAGTCGTCCACGTTGCCTGATGCAGATAGCGGGGGTTCGGAGAAGGGAACCTCCCCGCCGCCCCGGTGGAAGATTCTGAAAGCAGCAGGAAGTTCCGCCGGACAGACAAAGGGAAAACATCCGCGGATGAAAGCTGCAACTCTGCGAGATCCGGTTTGCAGTTTTTCATGGAGGATTCCACGCGCGCTCTCTGTGATGGTCTCGGGAATGCGGCGGGGACTCTCGCAAGGGCCAATGCAGAATGTGCACAGCAAATGACCACTCAAATCAGTGCGGTCAACGGAAAAAATTCCCAAAATTAAATAATCATTCTATAGTGGAATTACATTCTAAATTTTAAATTTTCATTCCATCCTAACAAATGTCATTCCAATTTTGAAATTTTTCGTTTTACTTGAAAACTTTCCTTCCAAGAATGGGGTATCCCTTTTTATTTGAACTGCATGCTAGAGATGGAATGAAACTGTGGACGAGTTCATGAAATATTTTAATTGGATTGTCATTCTAATTAAAGATTTTCAATCATAAATAGGTTAATCCAATCTAAATTAGAAGATATTTCTTGTAGTAGAACGAAAGTTTAATTAAAACATTTCATAAACTCGTCCAGACTTTCATTCCATTTTGAACAAATAGATGTAGTTGGAAGGAAAAACTCATATTTAGATAGGAACTTATCAAATAAAACTGAAAATTTTAGAATTTGACGAACATTGGAATGATAATTCATAAATATGAAGGATTTTTTTTTTATGGAATATTTTTTCAACTTTCATTTCTCGTGGGAATTTTTTTGTTGGTAGCCAGTGCAATGAAGGACGGTAACGCTGCGCTGCGGCTTCTGGTCGAGGTTATGGCGAGGCGTGTGGGAGGAGGAGGTGGACGACGTGAGGACAAGGGCGACGACATGAATCCCTCAAGCAAGTGAGGGAATGATTTGCAGTTCGGTTGTTGTTGTTGGTGTGTGTGTGTGTGTGTGTGTGTGTGTGTGTGTGTGTGTGTGTGCATACACACACACACACACACACACACACACACACACCGACCATTGGGCCGGACCGACGGTTTGTTCACTACGTCTGTGCACTTCTACCGGTGGTTTTCGCAGTATGGCGCTTGC